TATATATTATATGTACACATGTTTGCCTTACTTTGGCTTACTGTGATTTGGATATTGCACAAGTCCATTTTGCTATTTTGATGAGATTTCAAGTAAATGTGCTAGCAAACTACCAATCAAAAATATTATAGTCACCATGGTTTTGGTATCTACTTATTCTGACGACGTAAAGGATAGATGTGCATTTCACAGTTTTCTCCGCTAAACATCCAAATCAAATCCCTTGTGTTATCAGTAAAGAAACACATTGCACCGCACCTGTAACATCTCTTCTAGTTCTACCCCCCCACCCCTCCTCTCTGACTGTCTCTTTCTTTTCCTTCGGGTCTGTCTGTTCGTCTGTCTCTTTTTGTCCTCCTGGGATACAAAACGATTCAATAACCCTTTTTTTGGCACAAATGTTTAACAGTCAAGGAAACATTCTGCAGCAACATGTTTCTGTCCCTCTCTCTGTTGGTTTGAAGATAGGAGTCCATTCTGCTGCCACTCTGGGGGGTCGAACACTTTCTCCTGTCAGCTGCTTTTCCTGGACTTGTTTGGGCACAATGGAAGCCACTGCCATTAGTTCAGTGTTTTGTGTGAGTGCCTCTGTGTTTTTGTTCAACAGTTGGGGAGTTTCTTTCCAAAAAGAACAATTCTGAACAGAAGGAACTATGACAACAAGACACACATACAGTACATAGATAATAACGAAATAAATAGTTTCAGTGCAGTGTGTAACTTAAAGGTCCCATGTCATGCTTTTCCGGTTAATACCCGTCCCCTTGTGTGTTATGAAGGTTTTTCTGCATGTAAACGGTCTGCAGAGTCAAAAACCCTCAAAGTACACCCTGTAGCGAGTAAAACTCTAACACAGAAAATACCTGTCTATGCTGCCCCAGAACGCCTCGTTGGAGATTTCTCAATTTCCAATGTGTTCTTCCTGGGTATCGCTACGTAGGAATACCCATTAGCCACGCCCAGAGCTATGGCCTTACCCTCTGGCAGCCTTTCAAGAAACAAAGCTTCACAAACCTTTCAGCGGTTCATGCCGGATATGTACAGCGGAGGGCACTGAAGAACGATGCTGTTCCTACTTTATTTGGACCAGCGGGAGATTTGGGTACACAACCTGTAAGTATTCATTGTTGTGTGTGAATTTATGATGTTTAAAAGAAACAAGGTATCTACCACGACTGTTTAAATGGGTAAACGTTTTTCGGGCTACTAAGTTGGGATGGCGGAGAAATGCTCTCCGCAGACCCATTCTCACAGCGTTACAAACCTTTTTCTTACTCAATATCAAGCCACACTTATTGTTTTTACTTCGGCTGTGAGTGTTTGTGTGCGCTCAGGATGAGTTTTGCGTTCTCCTGTATCGTTGAGACGCCGACACGGAAAGCCTGTCTGCTTCTGCAGCAGCTCACACAGCTGTGAGGAGCTGTGAGGAGCTGCGAGCAGCAACGAGCCTCTCAGCCAATCAGAGCACACTGGGCTCACAGGGAGGGGGGGCAGGAGCTACAACAAGCCGTTTAGGAGAGAGAGTGAATACCGGTGAATACGTATACTTTACAGAGATGCTGTATGAGAAACCAATGTGAGTTTGGAAAATTGCACAGTATAAATCTATTTTAGTACACCAACAATGGAATTATGATCAGTGGAAATGGCCATGATATGGGACTTTTAAGGCATGCTTGGCTTTTCAACACAGTTTTACTCCCTAAACGTCCAGCGACGCTTGGTCAGGGAAACCGTGGCGTGCAGTTGGGACGCGCTGAGGCTCCTTCAGCTTCATAAACGGACGCAAAGAGCTTTCAACTGATTGCAATGTATTCCCATCGGCGGCGGTATTTGACGCTCAGGGAAGCACCACATCGGTCCATGTCGGCGGCATTTAAAAGCAATGTGAGCGTCCATTCCCATTGGATAACGGAGGATTTTACACCCAGAAGTAAGTATTCTCCTTACTGTTGATTGATTTTACAGTGATATCTGCACTACTCATCAACTCAAAAACACCAGATTAACTTTGTTGATTATACAACATTGATTGATTTAAATGGTGTACAATGCTTTTTCATTTTTCCCCTTCAATTCGGAGAAACAAATGTTTTTCGGAGTTTAGGCAAGGCAAGGCAAGTTTATTTATATAGCACCTTTCAACACAAGGCAATTCAAAGTGCTTTACAAAAAATGAAAGACATTAAGAAAATGGTATTTAAAATCAGTCATTAAAAAGAAAAGATAATAAAATAAACATTAAAAGAAAAAATACATGGATAAAAGTTACAGTGCAGTTTAAGATGTGAATAGTTCAATTAAAAAGCAGCGGCAAAAAGAAAAGTCTTTAGAAAAGTCGTTTAGGATGGCAGAAGACACTACACTACTCAGAATCCTCAGCTATCGTTTGGGACTACACCATGTGCCTTGCTTCACAAACCCCGTGATTAGTCCTCAAGCTCTGTGATTGGATGTTGGAGTGGCAGTGCGCAAAGTTAGCAGATTCTGATTAATGATGTAAAATATAAACAACCCTTAAAGAGCCTGTGACAGCCTTCCAACAACTGTTGTGCAATGAAATATTGGGCTACTAGTAATCTCGAACCGTCAGTTTAAAAAAGGTGCGATACCGTTCCGATAAATATCAATAATTTCGAACATCGCGGGGAAATTCCTTCGACTCATTTTGATGTTTTGGGGGAAGCCGGAAGTGACGTCAGTGCGGGAATGCTTCACTGTGCGGCGAGAGAGCCAAACACGGACAAAGTGTGTTGTCATGTGTAGTGACCACGATATCCATTTGTTTTTTGTCGTTTGTTTGTGGCTCACTCGTGGGGCTGACCGACGAATAGACGCTTGTACAGATGTAGCGATTCATTTCAGACCGTTTGAAACGCGAGGGCCGTGATTGGTACGTGATCTGCCCTCGCTCAAGGGAAAACCTCCAGCTTGACTTGAGACCACCCCCGTGATAGATAAATGTAATTATAATGAAGCCAGCTGCAATGGATCATTGATCCACCAGGGGGTGCTGGAGGTACAGCGGAACTTTGTTAAGATCCATATGTCACGGATATCATACTCTGTGCTAAATAAGAGACATGTAATCATTTACAAAACATCACCATGTTGTTATTTAACAAAATAATGTTGTTTAGTCAAAAAAAACGAACAGGAGGAAATGCAGCCCGGCTCTCGATTTTTAATCCTAATTTAATCATCATCTTCACC